AACGACAGATAAATAGATGGATGGATGGATGGATGAATGGCTAGATGGATGAATAGATAGAGGTAGGTAGGTAGGTAGGTAGGTAGGTAGGTAGGTAGGTAGGTAGGTAGGTCGGTAGGTAGGTCGGTCGGTCGGTGGGTAGGTAGGTAGGTAGGTAGGTAGGTAGGTCGGTCGGTAGGTAGGTAGGTAGGTAGGTAGGGAGGTAGGCAGGTAGGAAAGAAGAAGGAAGGTAGGAGGTAGGCAGGTAGGTAGGTAGGCAGGTAGGTAGGTAGGTGTTCATGTATTCATGTATGTATGCGTGTGCGTTGGAGGTTCTTGTTTGTGCTACCTATACTTGTATCTATTCAACCTATTTTTCGATCTGTCTACTCATCTGGTCCGTTTTTGAGTTGTGATTCATTGGTGTATGTGTGTGTGTGTGTGTCATTAATGCTTTAAATGGGCACAAGACTCAGGGTATTCCTTCATCTGTACACAAGGCTCCGGGGCACTTGTTTTCATGTATATTGGATTGGCTTCATGCGAGACCGAGTTGGGGTGCTTTCAATAAGTAACTTAATGTTATTCATCATCGGCGTCATTGCGGTCTTAGGGTGCAGATTGCTTTGGCTGGCTGGGGTTTGGGGCTTGATGCTGGGCGTAAGAACGAGCCCGGAGTCAACAGAAAAGAGCTGCAGGCCATAGCGGCCCGGATTGAAAAATGAGGATACTCAATGGCGATTTAGGACATAGGGTTCGGGGTACAGGGTCCATGGCTTGGGGTATTCGGGCTTCAGGTCTCCACAACCGGTTTGCCGTTTATCTTTTCTAGCGGGTCGGGTTTGCGGGTTTCCGTACACAACTCCACAAGCGCAGACTGCTGTCTGAAGCTCTGAACCTATTCCAACCGAAGCCTAGATGCGATGCTGCAACAGAAATCGCAGACCAGACGCTGCCGCATACGCCCCGTTGCCTATGGGTACATAAAGGGGGTGTTGGGGTCCCCTATGCTTGCACATTACCGCGACGGCTAGTTGTGGCTGCGGTGCTTTCTTAGTTTAATGCAAGAATCCTAGCCATGGAGATGGTTGACCAAAAGAACAAACTACATCCGAGAGTGTAGGTGGTAGGTCCTTGGCAGCCTAAAGGATGAAGCAAGCCAGAGCGATGATCCAGGTCACGCCTGCAATGATGTGGGCAGGTATCAATTTTGCGGGAACCGGCGTGGCCTGTCGGCTTTGCCATGGATACTAAAGGATGTGGGGTTTAGGAAGCTTAGGGTTGAAGAGAGTTCAATGTTCAACTCGAGCCAATCAGGTTGTTCATTCTGTCCTATTTCCTTCACTACTTGCAAACTCTTGCTCGAGAATCCATGGCTCTGGCCCGTGAACGTGTTTAGGGTTGAGGCTTTTGTGGGGTTTGGGTATTTGCATAGGTGATTGAGCAAGCTTCAACCCGTTTATCAGATCTAGCACTGCCAGCTTGGAAAAGGTTACCCCATTTCGGTCCGGGACCTTTGCCCCGAATGTCGAATCCCGAAGTTCACCTCGAATTCCAAAGTCTCGGGTCTTATTGCTTCAGCATCCATTTTCGCTTTGATGTGATGTACCTTCTCCATATGAAGGCTTTCATTTGTGAACCATGGATACTCCACTGGGCTTCGCTCGTTTGGGCTGTGGTTTGGGCAGTGTGTTAGGCTGCCTTCCCCTGCCAAAACGTTCCCGTAAGGTTTACGGTATATCCTCATAAAAAAACTCAGAAGCAAGTCATAGGTTTAGGGTTGAGGTAAATGCCTTTCACCCTACCGCCCACTGACTGTAAGCAGAGGAGTGTCGTAGACAGGGACAATGTCTGATCTCTTACCAAAGCCTAAACCCTCAACTCCAGCAAGCTTCGCTGCCAAGACCGCCTAGGCCTCTTGAACCGTAAAGCCGAAGCTCGGCACGCCCAAGAGCCTATACAGCCTAGATCCCATCAGGTGTCACCGCACATTATGCTGAAATCCTTGTTCGTGCTTTGGGGTAAAACAGCGGCGGTTTCCATGATAGCGTGACAAAAGCCTTGAGCTGGAACGGTTCCAAACTGTGCCAAACCTTCCAAAGCACGCGCTGCTAGGTATCCGATCTCAGCCGCATCTCCAACAAGGGCGACAATGAAAAGACGAGGCTGTGCCCGCAAGGCACGTGGCTGTGGCTTGGACAGTCATTAGGGGGTGGGGGAAAGAGGGGGGGGGGGTGAAACACTGAATGTTACACATCCAGGTGCCTGTTTGTTTCACGTATCACTTGCATGTATCCATGCCTGTGGCTCAAGGTTCTAGCAGAGTACG